CCCGATGCATGTCCTGGACCGGATCAAAGGGGAAACCATCAGGCCTGTGTACATCATGATATTTCCGAAGATGGCTGATGAGGGCTTTACGGCCTACGGAGTCTTGACACAATGGGCATCTATACATCTTTGCGGGCTCCGGGCAGGGTCCATCAGGATGAGAAGCGAGCATCAATTTCACTGTGACCTTGGCAGTGCGAAGATCGGATCCCGATGGGGCCGATGTGGTCAGGTCAAGCGGACGATCCATCTGAGCATGCTTCGGGTGCTTTTGATGATGCGTGATTAGTCCAGTCTCGGTCAGGAATGTGGTATTACAAGCAAGACATTTGAACAAAGGGGTTGTTCGAGCACATGGACCAGCCCCTTCGGTGTCGTCATCAACCTCCATCGGAGTCGGCCGTGTGTCGGATGGAGGCGCCAGGGTGGCAGCTTCACTGGGAGTCTCGGGCTTGTCTGCATTTCCTGTACCTGATGACGGTCGGTTGGCCCGAAGCGGGCGCATCATAGTGGGCATGACAGGAAAATACGAAACATCATATGTCTGTCCAAGCAGAATGCTAATCTGAAGCAAGACTCCACATTTATGTGTGCGGACATCATTGCATTGTTGCTCACACAAGACACACGTGCCTTTTCCACTACCTAGATTGGCAAGGCCATACACTTGATCGCGATGCAATGCTTCGTAAACCAAAAGACCTTGATGTCGTTCTCCATAGTGTTTACGAATGGAGCGAGCAGGCACGGCAAGGTGACAAAAGACACAGTGGTGTGCAATTTCACAGACCAGGGCTTTGTCCAGTAGAATACCTGGGATGGATTTGTAGCGCAAATGCATGCGCAATGACTGGCGGTCAGCAATCGGCACGATGGTCTCCTTGTGCGGATCGAACTGAAGACAAACTCTGGCATTGATATGATATCTAAGGCGATATATATCAGCTAATTGCTTATGACAGTGTCTACATGTTGCCTTCCCTTCAAATGAATCACGCAGGGGATCAAACAAATCTTCAATGTGGCAGGGAATCTGGTGTGCAGTACGCATATGTCGTTTCCAGGGTCCTGCCTGATGAAAAGCTCGATCACACTCTGGACATTTGAGTTCAGGTGCCTGAGAGAACGAGATTGAAGCCGTGGGTTCATGTTGTAATTGGTTATCAGGGTATGCTGGGGTCAAAACGCAAATATCTTGCTGACCAGTCTGCATGGCTTCACGGATCAGGATGTCACGACGTCGACTCAGGGAGTCGTTCAGACGAGTTTGTTGTCGAACAAAATAGCACCATGGAGGTTCAATGTGCATACGTGAATAAAAGGCCGTGTTGGTTTCACGGGTGAGGTGCACAGGGGATCTGGTCATGGTCCTATGATGTTTGGTGATCATGCCATTGATCATCTGAAAACTGCGAGTTGAAATCCCCATCTCGTGGATGCCATATGAGACTGTGGGTAAAACACATTGGTTATACAACCTAAGGCGAATTGACAATGGATGATGCTGATCCAGGAGCCATTTCCTCAAGATGCGGAAGCAAACATTTGCAGCTTTGACTCTGCGAACAACGGTGTCGTGATCAAATGCGCGATAGCTCAATGTGACACCTAGGTAGTCTGTCCTACTGACAATAGGAAGGCTTAAGGATTGATCTGGCAGGTGCAAACGAGGTCCTTCTTTTGTTCTCGACGTCCATCGTTTCAAAAACGCCTGAGCGGACTTTCCCACAAGGCGCATGATGGCAACACTTTTGGTCAGATTGACCCTGAAATGGAAAGCCTTGAGCGTACCCAGCACCACAGTAAGATCATGTAAGGCCGACAGGCCCGAGGCCGGACTATCTATGAGCCACCTGAGGTGAATGTCGTCTGCATAGATGACAATGTGGGAAATGATCCAGGGCAGATCGAAACAGGCCATCAAGTGGTCGAGGAGCAGGTACATGCTCAAGGTCCAGAGCAAAGGGGCATCTTTGGACCCCTGCTTTATACCCCGGCTGGCTGTGACGTGTCCGATTAAATCTTTATGGGGTATGCAGTACTTGTGTTTGTGTTGCCATGACTGAACAAGGAGTTGAAGGTCTGGGTTCATCTCGAATCGTTGGATGGCTCGAAGTACCAAGTTTCGGTCAATGGCATCAAAAGCCTTCTCAAGATCGAGTGAGACCTGAAGGCCACCCCACAGTCCAGACTTAGATGGATCACTTTTGTGGTTCTGGCACAGTGCTTTGACCTGTCGACAGTGTTCAGAAGTCAGCAGGAGACAGTCCTGTGTGCCGCGGTGCGGTAGGTAGGCATACAGGGGAACCCGGCAAAGGGATGGAAGTGCATGTTCCAACACTTGTGCACAATGAATGCCCGAAAGGATTTTACTGACTGGGTGCTGAAGACAAATAGGTCTAAGCGCAGCAGGATGATTGGGAGGTTTATGGGGCTTACTGAGGAGATGCAGCCATCCAGTGGCCCAACGTGAGGGGGGAATTCCCGACTGAGTCCAGGCGCATTCGATGGCGGGGTAAACAACTGCTGCAATGTCGTGTGCGAAAACTTTCCAAATCAGTCCCGGCATTCCGTCCGGAGCAAGAGCCTTCGTAGCAGGAAGTTTGGAGAGGCCCATTGCAACCTGATCCTGAGTGAATGGGATGGAGTTCAACGGAGCAGGTGCTAACTCAAAATGCTCATCATGGAACATAGTGCCAAAGTGATCAACAAGGACAGCGAGTTCCTGGTGCGGAAGAAGAGGGGCGCCAAATCTATCATGCAATTGTATCTTACGAAAAGGCTGCTTAGGACAGAGTTTACGGATGTTGCGATACCAATCGTGCATGCGATTAGACAAAGCATGGGGAACATTCTCCTTCAAGAATTGTTCAAGCTTGTGTCGTTTGTTGATCTTACCAAATTTACGAATCTGAGCATGCAAACGCGCAAAGATGGTGAGGTGTTTCCAACTGTGGAATAGAGTGCGAACATGAACGTACAGAACCTGTCTAGCCTGTCTACGTGCATGCCACATACGGGCCGTGAGGGATACCACAGTCTTGTCAGAAGAAAATTGTTTTTTCTGACGAGGAAAATGCTCAAGACACAATTCTCTAAGATCATGTTCCATGGAATAGCAGTTTTCAATCGGACAGGTCAGTCTAGGTGACTGATGTCTGAGGATACAGCTCTGGGCTGCCACGACAAAGTGTCTCCATGCTGTTGTGTCAGCGATCATCTCCTGTCGAATTCGAAACCGATCGATAGAAACAAGTTTCGAGGGTACGGATCTGATCGGATGCCACCGGGGAAGGCCAAGGAGTAACGGACGGTGTTGTGGTCCCTGATGCAAACCAATGCGCTCAAACCGACAGTCAATTGAAGCAGTTATGTGTTTCCACCTAATCTGATTGGACCGCATGAAAGCGAAGTCGATTCGGGTCTGATGGCTACCATGCAGAAAGGTGGGTACGTATTTCTGCTTGCAATGAACTGCAACCAAGGATAATTCACGAATCATGAGTTGGAAGTCATGTTTATCGGTTTGAAGTGCCTGGTCAAAGCGTGGATCATGACTGCCAATGGATTGCGAATCGCGTTGAAGCGGACAATTGAAGTCCCCTATAACAACCATCATGTGGCTTTGAGGAGTATGTTGAATACACTGACGGAGTTTCCCCCACAGGTCCTGCCTTTCTTGCAACAGAGCACGGCTTGACTTGGTCGTGCTCCAGGCCGTCTGATATATAGTGTACAAATCATGGACCCTGTCTAGCATCAAGCGAATATGCAACAATCTGCCTGGAATCAACACCGCATACGCCAACATGGATGCTCGGATCAATGTTTTGCGGATCATGATAAGCTGGCTCGCAGCGGCCTCTTGAGAGTGAATGCAATACCAATGTTCAGTTTCCCATTGTCCATTGAACTTCCAGTTTGATTCTTGAATCAAGAGTACATCTTCGGGTCGGCCCGAGGCCCAGGCTAACCATTCATGGTAACTCAAGCATCTTGTGGCATTCCAGGAGAGAATCTTTAGAACAACACCAGATTGTTGTGCCTGTCGAGATTGAGGTTGCAGTGTTGACCTCTGTATTTCAGCCTTCAAAGGACCTCGCAACCGAAAAGGCACGTCGGATGCTGTGAAGCATCTGCCATGGTAGCTAGTGTGTCCAGCTTGTAATGCACGTTTGCATGCCCTGCGAAATGAACGCTTGATACGCCTTATTCGAGACTGGTGCACCAACTGGCCGTAGCCAAACATCGCCCAGACTTCACTGGCTTTCGTGCATGTCTTAGTAGGTGCATGGGAGTGCATTGCACTTTCGCCAACCCGTGAAGAAAGGTTGGCAACCCTCACGCCAGGCTTGAATCCTTGTGGTACAAAAGGTGGAGCATCTGGGTTCAAGCCTCCCGGACTTGGGACCGGGAGATCCAGTTCTGTAGACATCTGGTGGATCAAAGCAGCTATGGTGAATATCGAAAGGAACCACATGCCAATCTATGGAAGGAAAACCACAAGATCCATGGCAGTGGGCCCCCCAGACACGGCCGCGGACACTTGAACTGGAAATGGCGCTTAGCAAAAGCAACAACAACTCGACATCTTTCATGAATGTTGTTGGTTTTCTGTCTAGCATCTTTGAGAGTGGCTGTGATGTAGGGCTAATCACCTATCTTTGAGCACATGCATATGCACATAATGCATGCATAACATACGGTGCAGTAACCTTTTCACAAGCAGTGTCACTCACTGCAAATGGTAGCAAAATCATTCGGATGTGAGAGAGGCCCTTAAGAATACGCAAGCACCATTACAAATTGAACATACATGACTATATAAACATAATAGATATTAGTAATTCATATAAAATAATGTAACACTAATACTAAACTAATATTAATTATACAATTACATACAATTACGTGTATCTACAATATCTATCTTTTTGTTTTCGGACCCGCTTCTACCCCATTGCCATCCCCCGACCTTTCATGATCCCTTCGCCCACTGCCTCTGCATTTCCTTTCGCTCTGCGGCAACCTTGCCCAAAGCCAGTGAATCCGTTCACGAGAAAGAAACAACAGATTGCGCGAGCTGTGAGACATGTATATGGCACTATAATGTATATAGTAAGAATTGCTGATGCAAGCAGTCTCATCCATGAGAAGGAGTGTCTGTTTGATTTGTCCGTCTCATCCTGCCCTACAGTACCACCACATTGAGGCATATTCAGGTGGCGCGTCGTAGCAGCTGCAACTTGTTTTACCGTCTGCTGTTGCAGCTTGAGCTGTAACCTAAAACAGAAGGACACAAAGGCCAACAAATCAAAAAAAGGATCCGCATTGCCCTTGTGAGCTGCGAAATACAGCAAGGTTTCGAGAATTGTGGTCGCTTCTGTGTGAGCCCACGCCCCGAGGCAACATTCCTGACCTGCATGGAGGCACCGAGCTGAACCGGCTGTCTCTTGTTGCACAATCTAGCTTGTGATCCTGGCGCTTCTGGATAACATATTCCAGTTCCTCTTTAAAAATGTTCCAGCCAATCATCAATCGACAAGTTGTCATTCTGAGCTGCCATATACAGCGCTAAAATGGCAGCTGCTGTTGTGGTTTCGGTGCTAGCTCCTGCTTTCAGCAACGAATTCACCACCCACTTGTGGCCATTCTGAGCTGCAATATGCAGCGCTGTTTTGCCAGCTGCTGTAGTAG